AGGCTGCTAGCCTCGAAAGTTACAAAGGACCCGGCAGTCCTGCATCTCTCTCAGAGTGAGTCTTAGTGCGCTTTGATGGGAAATGAATGACAGTTGTCCTTCCAGGGCCCTGGTTACCATGACATAATGGTCTCATTCTGAGAAAAAACAAGCCCTGCCCAAACCATCTACACCCTTTGGTTTCTGCGTCCTTTTTCTGGTTGACCTGCCTCCTTCCACAGACGCTCCCCTGACCTGTCCTTGGCTCCCTGGAGTCCGGTCAATGACCTGATGCTGAGACTGGCCGAGATCCTCTGCTTAGACATCCCCATAAAACTCCACATCTGTTCTGGAGTCAGTTCCAACCACAGGGGGCCAACTCACTGACGTGCTGTCCTCAAATCCATCTCCCGCCCCTCTGGCTCATCCCCAGTACTTTCTTCGCGTTCTCCCATCTCTGCCCGCAGAGCTCTTGGCCAGGAGAGAAAAAAAAATGAGTGCAAGAGAGAAAGAGGAGCAACTGAGGGAGCTGTTTGGGGTTGGAAGGCTATTTCAGAGAGTTCTGTGAGTGTGACGTGAAGGCTCACTCAGCATAAGATAGAAAACAAAACAGAAAGGACCTTCTTTTCGCAGAGCTTGGGGAAGCTGAGGGAAGGAGAAAATCGGGGAGTGGGAACTGACGCTTACTGAGTTCTTGATACAGGGCAGGCAGGTTAGAGGGCACTTTTGATAGTTACCTCTTTCAGTGTACATGGCATCATGATTACATGCGCATTATTCCCAACTTAGAGATGAAGAAACTCTAACTTAATGTGTATAAGAGCACAGAGCCAGTGAGACAAGATAAAACTGATTTCAAATAAGAGCACAGAGCCAGTGAGACAAGATAAAACTGATTTCAGAGCTTATATTCTTGCTTCTATCCCAAAAGTTTCTGGTTATAGTTTAGTTATAATCAAAAAAGAATTCAGAAGTGAAATTTAGAAAATACATCCAAATATTGTTAACTCCACCAATCTGAAGTGAAAAATAACGGTGGACACACACACACCTGCCTTTCCATCTACCTATCTGTTATCTATTCAACTAGCTAATCTTTCTAGATGTATAGATTCTATTCAAGAGTCCTCCATGCTGTAGATAATTTCCCCCCCCACAAATCCTACTAATCGACCTTAGTGAAGGAACTATCAGGAAGTGTGAAGATACAAAGAAGAAATGAAACTATTTCATTCCACAAATATAGGTGAGGGAATTCCCAACAATGACTTTTTGTTCTGTGAAGAGGAACCAGAGGACTTGGGGTTAGGGGGAGGGACATGTATGAGGATGAAAGAAAACCTATATCCTCCTCTTCCAAAATGGGAAGTAAAGAGAGAAATCCGTACACTGAAAAATCAAGATGGAGCAACACAACATATTACCTAGAGGTGAGGTAAGAGTGAGATCAGTGCAATAAAACTGGTTTTAACAATTGAAAGTTATCACTTCTGGGAGCAAAGACATGATAGGACAGGGAGTTGGAGACAGGACATTAATTTTAGCAAATCTTGTAGTACTATTTAACTTTTAAAACTATTTGCATAATATAACTTTGTTAAAAATTAAAATCATTCAGCATTATCCAAAGAGAACAAAAACACTAACTTGAAAAGATACATATATGCCCATATGCATTGCAGTGTTATTTACAATAGCCAAGATAAGGCAACTACCTAAATGCCTGTCAATGGATGAAAGGATAAAGAAAATGTGGTGTGTGTGTGTATATATATATATATATATATATATATATATATACAGTGGAATATTGTTCAGCCATTAAAAAGAGTGAAACCGTGCCATTTGCAACAACATGAATGGAACTTGAGGGCATTATGTTAAGTGAAATAAGCTATATAGAGAAAGACAAATACCATATGATCTCACTTACCTGTAGAATCAAAAAGAAAAAAATTTAGGCTCATAGATTTAAAGAAAATATTGGTGCTTGCCAGCGGTGGGGGATGGGGCAGTGGGGGGAGATAGAAATCGGTAAAAGGAATCAAAAGGTTTTTTAAAAAGAAAAATAAAACCAGTAAAGAAATGAATAATGTGCTTAGCGAGAAAGAACAAGCATGCAGTCATGTGGAAAAGAAGGAACATTAAGTTCTGGGTAAGTGGCATTCCTTAACTGTCCCCTGTGAGCCCAGGACCATTGTGCTTCTGTTCTTTCTTACTGGAACATTCGTTCCTTGGATTCCTGCTGTCAGTCTTCATAAGCAAAGTTTCAGTTCAGATGTGTCCTCGAGCAGGCCTCTAGCCCTCCACTCTGGTCACTCTCCATCAGATCACTCAGGTTTTCTCCACAACTTACATCACAATTTGCAGACTTCATATTTATCATTAAATATCCTTTTTGCTTGAGGTTTATATGTTTCCTTCACTAAGTACAGTTTTGGGGGTGGAGGCTACAGCTGTTTTTTTTCACTCCTGCACCTCTCACCTCTTCCTAGAGAAACAAGAGGTGCTCACTCAGCAGTTGATTGATGAAAGGGTGCATAAATGAGAGAAAGGTGCCCCATCCCCTGGGCTACAATGGGCCTGTTCCATGAAACATCAGCTGGAGATACTAGTATGTTCTCCAGTTTCCTTTTGGAACACTACACAGACATTCCTCCTGTTAGTCAAAACGAGTAACTACATTCAGTTAGTCTTTTTTTTTAACTGTAAAGGAAATGTAATTTTTATTTTTTTAATTAATTTTTTTAACAGAGGTCAGAATATTCATAGTCTGCCACTTCCCAGTCCAGGCACTGGGCCATTTCTCTATTGGCGAAGGAGGGTGGGCTCTGGGGTGAAACAGACCTAAATTCTCCTCCAGCTTTGAGACTTACAATTGTGCTGCTTTGAATAAATTACCAAATTTATTTAAGCCTCAGTTGCTACCTTGTTAAAAATGGAATATGAGTATCCACCAGATGAAATGATTTGGGGATTAGAATGCAGTATGTGATACACAGTGTATACCCAGGGGAAAAAAAGTAAAAAGAGAGGCTGGGAAGAGAGGATCTGGAGGCAGCCTGTTCAGCACGCTTTGCAAGAGAACTATGGGGAGGAGATTATGGGGTGGGAAGGTTGGGTTACAGGTCAGAGGGAATTGGATGTCCTTTATATATAAGCGAGATGATATGTAGGGGAAACTCTGCAAAGAGGGAAAGTTTGAAAATACAGGAGAGGGGGGAATTGTTGAATGTCTATTCTAACAGAAACTGAAGAAATCAGATCAAATTAAAAAACCTTTTTAAATGCGAGACTATTTACTTTGCAACTAGAAGGGGGAAATGGGTGGGGGAAGTTACATAAATCTGAAGGATCTAGAACTTTTCCTAGAAGTTTCAGTGACTCCTGGATAATGCACACATAATGGAAAAAAGCAGACTTCTGGTCAAAAGAAGACACTTTCAAAGACTTTATTAAACATTAGGAAAGAGCTCTGAGAAATCTCTTTTCAAGGATGCATCAAGTTAACTTTTAAGCAGATCAGCACAGCTGGAGACAGACATATCTATGGTGCCTTCTGAGAACCAACCCATTTTTCTTTCTCTGAAAATAACCCACCCCTCACCTCAAAGGTGGCATCTTGTCCCGCTGGTCACAGACCACTGGGCTGGGATGGACACCTGCCCCAAGTTCAGGCAGTCATTTGTTTTTCCAAAAATTGTAAATTGTGACTAGGAGTCAGCCTGTGGGTGGTTAAAGCTCAGGTGCCATAGGAAGAGCACGGTAGTTGAAAAGGACAGTCAGAAGAATGTGGCCAACAGCAGAGGGTCTAGAGAACACAGACCACGTGGCCCAGAGAGAAAGAGAGACAGAGCAAGGGCAGGAGGGGCTGCTCCCCGTTCTGCTGGTTTTTCAGTTCTGAGTTCTGTTCCCTGTGAGGCCTGGCTAACGCCCATCCTCGGGGGCTGGGCACCACTCCTGTGTAAATATCCTCCCCTTTTGTCAGTGATCACAGTAAGAGGGTTTCTGTTACTGGCCAACACAGTCCTGGACCAAGCCAAAGCTCCTCCACTTCTATCAGTCTTCTGTTGACCCTGCCTTTCTCCCAACTTATTCTCTCTTGGGAATCCCAGAGGATGCCCATTATCTCTTGATATCTTTCTTTAACAGGACTAAATGTTTGCAATTCAAACCCCCAGCTTGTCCCTACTCCTTTTATATGGCTGTGTGTCTTTTAAATTTTGTTCACAGTAACGAAAATCTTTCAGGCCACATAACCAGAGACCATTCAGGGGGAGCCCTCTTAGACTTCCCTCTTATCATATACTCTGCAGATCTGCTCTGCGACTCGCCTGCCTGATGCGGCCGACCCCAGGTTGAGGAAGTAACCACCTTATCCAAGCCTTGAACTCCGTCATGCTTGGGACTCTAGGGAATGTAGAAAAAAAGGAGATGATATCGTGACTAGATGCCAATGTCCTCTTCCTACTGAGTCAATTCAGACTAGAGTGGAATTCCAATGAAGGTTCATCTTGCGGCACACTTCTGAAACCTGGTTGGTTGAGGGGAACTGCAATGAATAAGCTACTCTACATCCCTTTCAGGGAATGGAGTCAAATGGAATGAGGCAGTTGGGCCAGCCTAAGGACAATAGCCAATCCCCAGCACCAAGTGGTCATGCTCAGTGGTCACCACCCAGAATCCCCTCTTCCAGGCCCAGCCTCCCTCATACCCTGGGAGAACTGGCCAAGACCTGGTGAAGAGGAACCAGAACAAGCACCACTAAAGACTTAATTGCTACCAGCCAGAGCTCAGAGAAGGGGAGAGAGAAAGAGACAGGAGAGAAAGCATTTGTGTCTGCGTGTGTGTCGGGGGTGGGAAGCGGAGTTAGCTGGTGCCCACAAGTACTGAGGCAAAAGGAAGAAACACAGGGCGTTGGTTGATCCACTCAGAGACAGCATGGTGGGGATGTACTTAGCAGACCCACACTGAGCCTGGCACTGAGAGCTGTCAGAAGTCTGGAGGAATCCATAAGGCATCTCCCATAATCCATTTTTCTTAGACGGGTCATTACCTAAAGTAGCAAAAACCCTATGACTGAGTTGTTCAAGTTCACATTTATGGGATCCTATGTCTGAGCACCCACTCCCCAATCCTCACGCCCCACCTCACCTCCGTTTTCTCTTCCCTGCCCACTACTTGTCTCTATCAACCTTCCGACCCAATTCCCCCTGACAGAATCTCTGATTCTCCATCCCCATTCTGTTCAGTCACCCCTTCCCTCCCCTCAGGCCCCTGGGGCTCCACACCTGGGGGCACTAGACAAACATGTGCCTTTGATGATGAGGATGGTGCCCACGAGGAAGCCCAGCAGGCCGAGGGCCAGACCCAGGGCACAGACCAGGGTCTCTGTGGTGTCGGGTCGTGGAGCAGGCACCTGAAGCTCTGAGGGAGAAAGGAAGTGTCAGGGAGTAGGCAAAGGGATTTTAGAGGACAGGAGAGACAGGTTTGTGGAGGATGGGCTAGGAGGGCCTCTGTACCCCAGTGTGTGAAGAGGGGCTCTTCCAGTCCCCAGTGCTCCACTTTGCAGTCATAGAAGTCATCTGTGGAGGGCACGAAGGTCAGGTAGTGGAACTTGCGGAACGTATGATCAGGCTGGGAATAGAAGCTGGTCTGGATCACCCCCTTGGTGATAGCGTGACCATTGCGCAGCCAGGTGATGTTGATCACGGGGGGAAGATGTTGTCCACGATGCAGACGAGGACATTGGGCTGGCCCAGCAACACTCGAGACTTGGGGACCACGGTCACCTTTGGAGGCACTAGAAGAAAGAGGGTCTGAATCCCAAAGGCTCACCCCTGCGGCGGGCCTTGGTAGGGCCAGCACTGGGAACAGTTGCTCTTATTTAGTCACCAGTGGGCAGGGGATGCTCTGGGATGGTAGGGATGGAGGGCTGGGGGAGCAGAGCAGGCAGAGGCTCCTATGTCTGACATGCCCCTAAGGGGGGTGATCCAGGTGACAAGGGTTATTCCTCAAGAAGAAAGAGGGTGATGAGGACTGAGCACAGGATTCTTGGGTTCTGGAGCTGTGCACCAGAGCGCATAGAGGCCATGAAGTGGGGAAGAGACTTCCCTGGGCCTCCTCTGCCTGATGGGGTGGAGTGGCAGGGGAAGGGCCAGGTACCGGTGGTGGCTCTGGTGCGGTTGGAACGTTCCACCAAGATGTCCAGATGGGCTTTGATCATGGCGATGCTGTTCAACCCATTCAGCGGGTCAAAGTAGGTGAAGTCGCCAAACTCGGGCAGACGCCACACAGCCTCCTTCTCCTTCAGCTCCACTGAGAACAGCTGTTCCCCATCAAATTCATGGGCAAACTGACCCGAGGCATCAAAAGACTGGTAGAAGGCTGGTCCATAGGAGCCTTTGTGGTCAGCTGTATCGGGTGAGTTCAGGGTCAGGGAAAGAGAGGAAAGTGTGTCAATCTCATTCACAGCATGAGCTCTGTGGTCTCTGAGCCATCCCCCATCCTGGTGCTGTGTGGGTCAGAGCCTAGTTCTGACACTGAGCTGGACCTTGGAGGGTGGAAGAGTTGCCAGGGAGGAAGGAAGTGATGGTGGGTGAAGGCATGTGCCCGACACCCTGGCTCTCAGAGACACTGCTGGGAAGAGGAGAGGCTTGGGATTCCCCAAGTTAAAACCTGGCTGTGGTTATCTGCTCCTGCTGTGCTATGAGGTCCTGTGTGTGAGATGAGGGCTGTATGGGGGTGGGATGTGGAGAAAAGGATTCAGGAAAAGTGCTTAGAGGGAGCCCGGAGCTATGGCATGGGTGGGAGCGAGGGAGAATAGGCCACAGCTGGCAGGAGTAGACATTAAGATACGCAACACAGAGACCACAGGGTTAGAAAAAGGCAGGCCCAGGTGTTGCGGGGAGCACTAGAAAGGAGTCAGAAGTGTGTCCTAATCCTTCCATCTTTGAGCATTATGGTTCAAAGTGTTTATTCCCATAACTAAAGCTTGGCTTTCTGCAGTTAGGGGGTAGGTTTTAATTGGTGAGATTCCTTTAGAAAGCTAAGAAATGACTTATTCAGGGCCTCCCTGGTGGCGCAAGGGGTTGAGACGCAACCTATGAGGCCATCTGCAGCCACTGCAGCAATAGTTCGATCCCCGGCCAGAGGGCTGACCACATGGCACAGCAGACCTCTCCTGACTCACCCGCAGCTCCCCTCAGCAGTGTATTTCAGTAGATCTGACTGTTCTGCTTCCCCGGTCTGTCTGTGGTGAGTCCTCTCACACACACCCCCCCACTTCTGGCTTGTGCCCCAGTTCTTGGGGGGGAGGGGAGGGGAGGGGAGGAGAGGAGAGGAGAGGAGGGGAGAGACTTGTTCAGTGGGAACTTCATGTGCCCAGCACGATGCCAGGTCCCAAGAAAACACAGACCAAGCAGCTGAGGACCCACTCTCAGGACGCTCATGTCCAGAGCAGGGTAAAGACAGCTACACAGTTAACTACGGACCCGGTGATCAGTGCGTCACCAGAGCTGGACTTCAAAGTGCACGCTCAGGACAGGAAGTGGTAGAGAAGTCAGGGCGCTGGACGCAGTAGAATGGAGATTCAGGCCAGGGGCAGGAGGAACGCGGGGCACCCGAGCCTGAAAAAGCCTCAGCGGGACGCTGGCCCGACTGGCCTGAGCGCTGCTTGTATTTTAGGCAGAACAGACATGACAAAGCGAGAGGGACCAGGGCTCCCTTGGAAGTTCCCCAGCCTGGGAGGGAAGGGGTGTAGAGGAGGGGGGGATGGAGAGAAAGAAACACTTCATGTTCGGTTCCTCTGTCTCCCGTAAATCGGTAAATCCTGCTCCCCAAACCACCTCTCCTCACCCAGTGTCCCCCGCACTCACCCCTGATGGCCCCGACTTCCTGGGGGCTCAGGAGGGTCATCAAGATATGGAGGCCCAGGACCAGCCCCCCGCAGAGGATCATTGCCCTCGGGTGCTTTAACTAAGTAAGCCTTTGTCAATATGGGGGTAACAGAACGCGGATGTAAAGAAGTAAACAATCTAGCTTGGGGGAGACCCCTGCCGTAGTTAGCCAATCGGAAAAACTCTTTGACTGACGCAACTGTTGCTAGGTAAAGAATTAGAGTGCCTGGGTGAGAAGTGAAGATTCCTTTGTGGGACCCACCTGCTTGAGGGGTTCGTTCTCAGGGAGGGAGGGCGTGGGCATGGGGGCGGGTGCAAGAGGAAGTTTCTGTTTGCGGAGATGGGAGGGGCTTAAATCAACCATTTTTTTCTTTTTTATTTATGTATTTTTTACTTCATTGTTCATTTTTAAACAATGTTTCTCCCCACACACACACCCTCAGGTGTAGTCTCCATAGAATTTGAATCAACTTTTACTACATCCTGCAAAAAGGGACTTTGAAGGGAGAGAAAAGCCCTTCAGAGCTCTCAGCTGAACTCAAACAAAAGCTGAAAATCCTACACCCCCTCTGAAGTTCCTGCAGGCAAATTTGGAATTAAAGAATGTAATGTTACTAAGGGACATTAAAAGGGAAACATTGGCGACATGGTAGAATAAAAATCCTTTAAATCTTTCAATGACTTTAGAAAAGCATTGCTTTGTTGCATTGAGTGAGAAAAAAACGTGTACTTGTTGATGTTTAGTCTAACGAAGAGCTGCCTCCTGGACTGTTCTGGACAGGGAAGAAGGTGCTGGGTAACCTCCATGTGTCTCTCTATGTCCTCTGGTGTACTTCTCCACCTGGGTGGCCTGAGTGGACTGTGTCACCCTTGCTTTTGGCTTCTGGTTGGGCTCCAGCTAATGGGAAACTTTGGCAGAATTTAGAGACACACACAGATATAAAGATAACTGTCTAGTGTCTCACCAAATATGTCATTTATCAAAGATAATGAAATAAATTGTTTTAACTTGGAAGGGATGAAAGAAATCATCTGAGTCTATGGTTGCAAGTCAGGCTACACCAGAGAATCATCTGCTTAAAAATCAGCTTGTTAAAAATACTCCAGAGCTCCATCCTGACCCAATGAGGGACAGACCAGGGCCTGTGTCCTCCCTGGGTGACTCTTAGGCAGCCAGCCAGTGGACTGCCTTTGGGCAAAAACTGCTCTGGTGTTCAATTAAAGGGTCCCTACAGGGAATGGAGCAGATCAAAGCTTCTAACTTCCAGATAACCAAATGACAACTAGCAATGGCCTGGGTGGCACCGTTTTCTTTCTTTTTTTTTTTTTTAAGATTTATTTATTTATACAAGCATTGGGTACAGTCAGAAGCACGGAAGGGTGAGAGAATTCACCAGAGCCAGAGTGGGGAACAGAACAGGCAGACCGATGAAATACACTGCTGAGGGGAGCAGTGGGCAGCAGGAGAGGTCTGCTCGCCATGTGGGACCCTCACCAGTGGCTGGGGATCGAACTGGGGCCGCAAAGGCTGCAGACAGCTTCACAGCCCAGAGCTCAACTGCTGCGCCACCAGGGGAGGCCCTCAGTTTTATTTCTATAGCTCTTTTACTATATATATTTTTTCTAGAACTCATCCATTTGGGGGCACCTTTCTCCTCCCTATCTCTAGTTTTTCTTCTCTATTTTCAATTTCTTTATACTTCCATCTTTTATCCTAGGAGAGTTCTTAAATAAGGTCCTCCATTTACTAATTTATATTACAGTCCTCTCTCTCCCTCAATCTATTCCATTAATGTGAATCTGATTTCAACTATTTTATGTTTTCACATTTAGGACTTATGTATAGTTCCCCCTGTATTTGTTATGTTTTTCATATATTAATAGCTTGTCTTTTTTTTTCCTCTTAACCCTTTGCGCCACCAGGGAGGCCCTTTTATAGACTTTAAAAAGCAAATAATCCAAGAACATTTTGTCATTTAGCAGATAAAATGAAGTCTTCATTTTGCATCAATTTAGTATTTGATATTAAAGCTCTTTTAAAGAAAATTCACAAATAAGCTAATATTAATGATAACAAAATTCTCTTCCTGTGAGCCTTCTACCACTTCCTAAACCCATTTAGATTTTGTCCTACACAATCCTCTTCCTCAATCTAACAATGAGGATCCAATTATTTTACTTTAAGACAAAACTATTCTCCTTTCCCTTTATAAAAGTACATCCTGTATTCCTTGAATACAGTTATTTTTCTCTGTGATTATTTCTTCCAGCATCTCATTCATATATACTGGTCATAACTTTTTTTTTTTTTTTAAAGATTTATTTATTTATTTATTTATACAAGCACTGGGTACAGTCAGAAGCGCGGGAGGGTGAGAGAATTCACCAGAGCCAGAGCGGGGAGCAGAGCAGGCAGAAGGACCGAAGTACACTGCTGAGGGGAGCAGCGGGCGGCAGGAGAGGTCTGTGCGCCATGAGGTCTGCGCGCCATGCGGGACCCTCCTCCGGTGGCCGGGGAGCAGCAGGGGATCGAACCGGTGCCAGAGATTGCGGGCAGCTTTGCAACCCAGCGCTCAACCGCTGCGCCACCGGGGAGGCCCTGCTGGTCATAACTTTTAACCACAATATTGAAGCAGATAATTGTGAACTGTCATACACCAATATTTTGTATATAAGCTTATGAATATGATGGGGTTTTTGGAGTGTGGGGTCCTTGGGTTCACTCTGGCAAAGATTTCACTAGAGCTCCCATTTTAGCAGTACAAGGCTAATTTCCCAGGCGAGTTTCTCCACGAGACAGGGACCGTAGTTAAGGGATAGGACAGTAGAAAACGCTTGCATAGACGCAGGCGGGCAGGAAGAGCTGCCCAGAAAGGGACAGGTTCGCTGAGAGAGGCCTGCATGGTTGCAGGCGGGCGGCCTTGAGGAGAGCTGCCTCCGCTGAGGGAGGTCAGTGAGGAGAAGTCCCGGCATGGGACAGGTCATGGGCAGGCAGGAAGCTGCTGCCCTGCGGAGGTAGAGAGTTGGTGAAAAGAGGCACCTGCATAGTCGCAGGTGTGCAGAAAGACTGCTGCCGCTTGTCTTATTTTTTTTTAATGTGTTTTGGTTTTTTTTTTTTTTTTTTTTTTTTTGCAGTTATCTTAGTGACTATTTTCTAATACTTCTTTTAAGGACGGTTTTTCCTTTGAGATGGTACTGCTTCCTAGGGGGAAGGTTATCTTTTGATTTTGGCTCATCCATGTCAATATCGTAAATACAAAGGTAGGAAGGACCATAATCCCAGGACGGCATAAAATCACAGTCACCACCCTGTTGGTGCCCCACTGCTGAGTGACACTTCAGGAAAGGGTGTAGGATGAGGCGCATTGGGAAGGCTGGTCAAGCCCAACCCAAGCATAGTTGGTGCAGTGCTGAGGAGTCGGCAGTAATTTGACTGTTCCCATGCCCTCCCCACTCAGGCAGGGCTTTAGCCCAAGTTTCCTCCTGAACCCTAACAGCTGTGTGGCCATCTGAATCCTCCACTGCCCTTAGCAGGAAGAGCAGGCGATAGTTGTTCAGGCCAACACTGTGGAGCAGAATGAAGCTTCTCACAACCACCACAGCGAGCCCTCTACCCCTCTAGTTGATGACACCTCTCAGTCTCACCAGCAGTCCCCTACTATTTTCCCTCTGTGGTTTCTCCAGGACTGATTTTTAAGAGTGGGAACCAATAACATAAGCTAATTAACCCTGGCAGGAAGCAGGTCTCTCCATTATTTTCTTGTAACATTTATGTATTAACTAAATTGCCTCCTAGATAGAAAGGGTAGGGGCCATGGTTTACTGAATCTTTGTTACACAATCTCCCCTCTGGCTAACACAGTATTAAATTTAATGCTAGAATAGTATCAAATAAATGCTTGCCAAACAAGCAGATGACAACAAATAAAAGTAAATAAAGTGACTACCCAGTGGTTCTCAGGGGAGATTTTCCAAAACTGGGAACAAAGAAAGACTCAAAAAAAAAAAAAAATTGAGTGAAGTGTCTTCTCTTTGAATATGACATTAATTCAATTACTTTAAATTGTCTAAAATGCTAATTTTGACATAATTGTAGTTGTGTCCATCATGTTCTCTGGAGGACAAGCTGAGGTAGGTGTTAAGAGGTACTATTCATTAATAAGTATTTATGGAAAGCCTACTATGTGCTGGGCACTGTGTCCTGCAGTGGGCACACAACCCTTCCCTCTAGGTCCACGCTGTCCTGTGCAGTAGCTACCAGCCATCCATGTAATATGGCCAGTCTGAATTGAGATATAAAACATAAACGCAGTAAATGTCAAATGCTTTGTAATAATATGTAATGTATAATTACAAATATATGTATATAATCGCATTGATCATTTTTACATGAATTTTTAATTCATTGACAATACTTTGGATATGTTGGGTTTTAAATAAATATTATTATTATTTTAAAGATTTACTTATGCATACAAGAACTGGGGTACACACCAGAGGTATGGGGGTGAGAGGATTCACCAGAGACAGATTGGGGAACAGAACAGGCAGACTGACTGAAATACACTGCTGAGGGGAGCAGTGGGCAAGTCAGGAGAGGTCTGCTGCTCCATGTGGGTAGCTCCCTGGCCGGGGATCGAACTTGAGCTGCAGTGGCTGCAGATAGCTTCACAGGTTGCATCTTAATCCCTCGTGCCACCAGAAAGGCCCTAAATAAATATTATTTTCACCTGTTTCTTGCAACTTTCTTAAGGCGGCAATTAGATAGTCCAGTTGAGTATGTGAGTCTCATATTTCTAGTGGGCAGTGCTGCTCTGGTTGCTCCTGACTGGCCACCAGTTAGCCATTCACTTCTTTCCCTAGAGTCTTCAATGTATGCAGCCTGATTACAGGGGGACACAGTCATTTCCTGTTACCTAGAGAGTCCATCAGAATATTTCCATTCTGAACTTTAAATCTATTTTGTGTGTATATATACCCTATATATTTACCTACTTTTAATCTGTTTTTACTTCACTGTGCTAGCCTAGCACTGTACTAGGCTCTGGAACCACAATAAAGGTTCTTGCCATCAAAGATCTTTCAATCTGCCATGGAAAGCTGTACACAGAACTGAAAATGATGTGTGTG